CAATTTCTTCAATTATAAGAGAACTTAATCAATCATTTCAAGCATTACATATGGAAATACGTAGATCTATTAATCAAAACACTGGGGATTATGTTTATGTATTAATAACAACAAATCTTGATGAAATAAATCAAGTTGCATGTATATTTGATCAAAATGATTTAAAAAAAGTAAATGAATTAATAGAATTATTAATAAATAATAATTATAAAATACAAAGAAATTCATTAGATGATGAATATGATTCAGTTTGTAATATCTTAATCGAACTTAATTATCTTAATGAAATTTCAGGAATACTTACCTTTGGACCTTGTTATTTAGTTTCAGAAGAAGCATCTGAATTACAATTACCTCATTGTGAAATTTGTAATTTACCTGGAACAATAGGAACGTTTTGTCCAAATAGTACTTGTCAAACATTTTATCATTTATTATGTTTAAAACGTTTAGGAAGAGAGAATCATCTATGTTCACGTTGTAAAACTCATTTAGATTATAATTAATTGGTTTTTATGTTTATTCTAATTTCTTTTTCTTCATTTATTTCCTGTTTCTGTTAATTTTTTTTTTTTTATTTCTTTATTTTCATTTTCGAACAATAAAATCTAGTTCTATTAACACTTAATTAATTGCTTTATTTATTTGCATTTTCTCATTATTATCATTCTGATTTATCTTCTTTTTTTTAACTCATTATTTTTTAAAGTCAGATTCAGTAATTATGTGGCTATTTAATAATGGTTTTTTTTTCATTTTCAAATTATAAAACTCTTATTCTTTAATTTACTACTAGTCCATTAAGATTAATACCATGAATAATAGAGTCTTATTAAAATTATAAATTGAGTCTTTTCTTGAATGGTTTAATAGTTGTAACTATCAATGGTAATTTTATATATTGTTTCTGATTAGAATTAAATCTGTGGTTTGATATTAAAAACAAAATTAACTCATATCTCTTCTTTTAGTGTGACGTTATAATAATAGGTATTACACTTTTATAACAAAACAACTTTATTATTGAAACATACTTTCTATCTACTTTTAGTTTACAATACTTTTATTCATTTGTTTTTTTTTAGTAATAAAATAGAGAAAGAATGTATTTTGATATATTCTTTTTGTGTTTTTTTTTCCAAACATTTGAATTTGAAAATAGTACCATACATATTTCACTTATATAAATTCATTAGTACCATCAGGAATTAAAGGTAGTA